TCCCACGTGGCAACGATCTTTCCTCATTCGCGAGGTATCGCTAAATCCCATTTCATCGAGCGATAATGCGCACAGTTAAAATTTTTCCCGTTTATGCAAAGTTTTACCAGAAAACGAGTGGTTTCCTCCTCCTCCCTACTACCGATGAGCTGACGTGTGGTACTTGCAGCCTCACAGATCAAATCTTTTGTTTGCGAAATAATTGCCGTTCCATGCAGTGACTAAGTAGGAGTTGCAGGTATTTGGACGAGCTGATCGAGGAGGTACACCTTTTGCATCGATTCCGTCTGAACGATCCCGACCAGCCGCGCTACATTTTCGCGCTCACTTGCGCCGAAATTCACCGTGTCTGGAAGCTTGTTTATGCACGTATTTGTGAAAATGTCGCAACGCCATCCGAATGAGAAACACGCTCGAGCTGTGTGATCCTGACGGGCTGGAGCAGAAAGGCGTTTCCTGGATATCGGCCCTGGTCCTACAGTTTTTCTCATGCTAACCCCGTTTTTGTTTCCAGGACGCGAAATCTGTTTCAGCTCAGTTTTGCTTTATCAAAAATAATCTTGTTTTCTTTTTCTTAACTTCTATACGTTATGACTAATAGAAGGTACGTGATTAACTTCATCATCAATGTTAATGCTGATATGAGCATTCATCTAATAATAAAGATTGTTGTGAAGAGACTTTTCTCGCACAACAGCTCCTAAACGTTTCGAGCCTGCTGATGTTGGTTTCTGGCCTGTATTTACAGCTAAGGGATGAAACACAGACTGCATCGAAAAATATCACTCCACTACATCTACAAGATAAAGGCGATTTGCACTATAAAATAACACCTTACACATGGCTTGCGTACAATCTTGTTGGTCTATTATTTCTGGCACCGTGCAAAAATTGCATTCCAAAAATTCCATTTCTCTATTTTCACACGAATTTCAGAATACAAGTACTGTTATATTGGAGCTGCCCAAAAAAATCCACCTTATTTTAGAGCGGAGATTTTTATGTTAACAATCTTGAAGATAATACAGAACATCTCTGGGTGAATGTATACCAACAATAGGCTTAATTAACTGGTATTCAACAAAGATATTACTTGCACTTCGTAAAATAATCGAGCAAGTCCGCATTTCGTCTGAACTTTGGACAGTACTCGCAGACCTAACAAATAATAGCTGTACAAGCGAGTTTTAGCGTATTTGAGGTACCATCTTCAGTATAATTGTGTGGTCCCTGCATACTATATCTGTCCCAATTTGTCACAAGATCGATCAAGCCACGAGTTCGGATTTCAATGCCCTTCGATAGCTGACATTCGCACACGCAGTAGTCTTTATTTTTACAGAGCACACACACAC